AAAAAAAAAAAAAAAAAGTGGTAAATTTGAGCCATTCAGTAAGACTGATTTTGCAAAAAAATACATCACTGTATTGTGAAGAATCTAACCAAATGTTGGAGTCTGGTACACGTGTATACATATACATATATATGCATATGTATGATAAATAAAATTATTAACAGTGATAAATAATACACTGTGCTTTGAACTTTATATATCTAAACAAGCTTTTTTCTCGTTAATAGTATAAGATGAGAACAAGAAACTAATAAATAAATGTGAGGAAAACACCACTAAAAATCAGTATTTCTGAAGCAGTATGTTCTAGAACTTTTAAAGTATTTCTGAGGCTCCAGTGATTTGATAGCTAGTAAAAAATTTGGAAAAGAGTAAACTAACTTGGCAGAGACCAAGGTTAGAGGCACATTGCCTAAATAATAGGCTACTGCAAATATAATCTCCAATTTCTATAATGAAAAAATTAAAACATTTTTTGGCACACTTATATAGAAACTTTGAGAGCTACAAATAATGTTTTATTAAATAGTAACTAGTACATATAATTCACAAATTCTACAAAATATTAATCTAGAAATACTGATTTTTTCCTGTACATTTTATGACTTGTTTAAATTCTTTGTATCATCTTCAATAAATTTCATCTAATTCAAAGCACATCATCTTAATTTCTGTCCCAAGATTTTTCAAATACACAATTTTTCTCAATTCATGTACAATCCTTGTCATGGAAACTGTATTTCAAGCCACAACATTCATTTGCCCAACATCTGGACAGCTGTTTATTTCATTAGTCAGTCCTATAGGTATATGTTCATTATTTGTACAACAACTTATATTGCTTCCTTTTGGTGATCTCTAAAAGGCCCAAGTTACATTGACATTCACAACTTGTAAATATAAGGTTATATAGTCAGGAACAAATTTCTGCTGTATGTTAAATTTCTTTGCCTTGAATTTTGATTGATTATATACAGTCAACTCCATAAACTAAGACTGCTTCAGACTAATGTGTCTCTTGGGTCCGATATTTGATTACAAGCCAGTAAGTTAGCCTGTTCCTGTTTCTTGGATGTGGGCAGAAGACACAAGACTCCTAGATCAGAGACAAAGTGAGCAGCAAGCCTCTGCATATCTGTGGTAGATCTCCCTGACCAAGTCTGGTCAGGATGATATAAAAGGCACATACAGTAGGTTGTGTTACAGGAGAGAGGAACAATGAACTTGAGAATCCATGAGTTTCATAGCAAGCTATAAGCAGGCCTGTTCTTTGTCCCGAAAGGGACACTACCTCTTCCCTTAAGGCTTTTCAATGCAAACCCTGAGAAATGGCCTGGGTATACAGGGCAGTCAGTGCCTTGCATTCTTGGCACATTCGACAAGTTGTATATGAATGCAAAGGTTAACTTTCTCCCAAAAGTGTTTTCCCAAATACAATGCTTGTTATTTGAAATTCAATAATTGAGAGAGCACTCCATGATACGAAATTGTAAAAATTCAAGCAAAAGGTAACTCCTTCTTTCTAAGGGATCATTTCTTTACATTCAGAAAATATACAATATTTTAATGAGCTTCCTTTACTAAAGTATTGATTATCAAAATAAATATTTTAAATGGAGTCTTCTAAAAATGACTTCATCTACATTGGTATTTTGATGACAATTTAGGCAAATGAGATCTCACAAATCATGTCAGGTACATGAAGCTTAAACTCTGTCTTACCCTGTCTCTTGGCAACAGTGCAAAGATGAAGACACAACTGCACTAAATAGAGCTATACTTTTTGTTAGGTTAAAAATATCCCTTTTATTTTAAATACAGTGAAGTTATTAAACAATCTTAGAGCAAGATGTTTTATTATAGTCATCTAAGTTAATACAGTCATACACTGAAGCCAGAAAAAATTACGCTGAACCTAAAGTCAAAAATAGACCCAGGTTAAACATACCGGGGAGTCTGAACAGTAAGTAGAAATTAATGACTAATCCTAAAACTTTCAAGACCATAAAACACATATCATCAGTAGTAAAAACCTATCAGACTATTCCACTCCCAAGTAATACAGGATTAACAATAGTTTATTATCTGTAGCAAGCGTCTTTATTTATGGTATTTATTGGCTTCCATAGGGAGGATCATGAAAAGGCTTTAGAGGAAGATGTGATTCTGTTGAAATACTAGGCACGCTGGTAGTATGAAAGTGTAGTTTCTGGAGGAAACTGTGAAAACAGTGTTTTCA